GTAAGAATGAGGTATTGTGTGAGAGGTATTGGTTCGGTTGAGTAAGTATAAGTGACAAGTATAGAAAATGAATAAGGGTAAGGTATTGTGTAGGAGATTTAAGAGAAAAAGAGTAGGGAATTGTTCTTCCTTTTTTGTCTTTGCTGCTAACTCGGTGCAAGTCTAGCTTAGTTGTTAGTACCCATCCACCCGCTACTGGAAAGTAGATCTTGGTGAATTAAGTTGACATACAGATGTGGTCGATAGCCCGGGTGGACAACTCGGATATTGGAGATGACTGCTGTGTAGTCTGATTGAACTAAATGGATGTTAGAACAAGAATGATGGATGCATTAGCCGGGCATGATTCTAGAGTTCCTGGTCACAAGATCAACTATATCCCATGATGTATGAGCAATTTGAGTTGTTTTCGATGGAAGTTTAGCTTTGTAGAAGTGCCTGCTTACCCTATATTCATACCCAATATTATATTTGTGCCCAATACCATGTTTGTACTTACTATCATATTGTTTGTGCCTACTATCATATTCATGTCTGATACTATATTTATCTTCAGTGTTGTCATGGGACAGTTGTGGACAATAAGTTTAAACACTTTGGACAATTTTGGACAATTAAATAAATTAAAATTACTCAAAATTTTATTAAGATAATCTATTTTAATTTCTAAGTAAAATATGTTTAGTATATAACAAAATATATAATCATATATTTTTTAAACAATTTTATTAATTATTAAAGCTTGAACATGCTCTGGACACTTGTGGACACTTGGACACTTGGATATTAGACAGTACCAAAAAAGCTTTTGGACAGTCAAAATGTACAACACTGTTTATCTCCACTATCATATTTATGCCTGATGCTATATTTATCTCCACTATCATATACATGCCCAATATTATATTTGTGCCCACTATCATATTCATGCTCAAAACTATATTCACATCCAATATTGTAATTATGGCCACTATTATATTCATGCCTATTACCAGGTTTGTTGTTATTAACCACAGTGTTAAAGACTATTGCTTTATTGTTACAACTCATATTGGTATGTGTCATAAGGTTAAACAATGCTTATACACTGCTTTACTGTAGTTTTTTGTTTTTCCGTTGTTTAACCTTTTCTAATTTTTCACGACCACAACTATCGAAGTTCTTTTTATTTTACAAGTTAAATACTAGAGAACCTTTATTAGATAACTATGCACAAGGAAATAAAACTGATTAATGATTTTTATTTGTTTGTTCTTAAAAAAAAGAAAAGCGATCACATTACAGTACAATTGAACCCTATTTATTTGCTTTAATTATTACGTGATATGTATTACACACAGATCACCAGTATATCAGTAAAAAAATTTATTTTTTTAGTTTGTAATAATGCAATTAATTATATATATTGTTTGTGTAATATAATATATTTGGTATACATAGTGCCATGACACTATAGTGCTATAAAAATATTTTATTTTAATAAAATTTTTTTAAAATAAATTTATACTAAAAAATATTAATATCCAAAACATTATATTTCAAAAATTAACAAAACAGAAATTAAATAACTAAGTAAAAATATTTAATCTTTAAAAAATCTTGTAAAATTTAAAATTTGAACCCTTATATCTAACTCCTAACCTTTATATTTAACCCTTATTTTAGTATATAATATACTTTAACTCTAAATTTTAATATAAAAATATTATAAAAATAGAAATAAATATTAATAATTACTATATAGTATAAATATTATTTTTTTAAAAAAATCTAAAATTAATAAATATAATCACCCTTTATAAATATATATTATCAAGAACAAATTTTTGAAAGCTTGCATTTAGAGAACAATAACTATATATTTAAACCAGAAAATTAATATGCATTTAAAAAGATTATGTATTTAAAAAAAACATTTTAGAAAAAACTATTTTTTTCAAATTTTAAAAAAATAAAATAAACATTGCTATTTACTACCAGAGACAATATCACTAAGAGTATTATATTTCAAAAATCTACTAGTTAACTCATATCAAAAATACTTAAAACCCCAAAACCTAATTAATTAAAATTTGAACTTTATATTTAACTCTAACCTTGCTTTAAAATTGCTAAATTTTAATAAAAAAATAAAAGATAGCAGATCGATACTAGTGATAAATAAAATTAAAATAAAATATACAAATATTATATATTTTTATATACTAAAAAGTTTAATTAAAATTGATTAGTTGGGGGCCGATCACATAACTCTTCTTGACGATCACTTGTACCAAATTTTCTCTACAAACAATCTGCATTTTTGCAATATTTTACTAAGTAAATTATAGTTGG